TGTCTCTCTGTGTGTGTGTGTGTGTGTGTGTGTGTGTGTCTCACCTCCTCGCTGAGCAGATCAGGTTGACAGTATTCACTCTGAGAATCGCCGCCATGCAGAATAAAGCAGATTCAATAGGAGCGGATGAGAAGAGGTCTCACTCCGCTGCGATTTCTGTGCACCACAAAGAGCCGCACAGTGTCGAGTAGCACCAGTAGCACCGACATGTTTACACTTTTCTTATTGAATCACGTCTTTATTCTTGTGTTCTCTGGTTTGATTGAATTGTTACCAGCTGACCTCAGATGTGTTTTCTTCGGCATGGTGTTCACGTTCGTGAGACTGAATCACACAATTTTCTGACTGGATAGTGGAACATGGTTTGGTTGCTGAAGTGATTCATCTTTATCACTAGACAATCTATGGTTGATACGGAAATAGCATTGAGAGGAAACGCGTCAGTTTAAAAGCGACGTTTTCGTTTCTTTACTCCTCCCCTTTTGTTTGACAATGTTGAAAGCACCCTGAAGGGCCTGATGTCTGTGAGTGTGTGGAATTTGCTTGATTTAGTTTGATTTAACTTAAAGAGAAGTCCCTACTGATAATAATCATAGTTCCTTGTGAAATCTGTGAAAACGTCAAACAGCGTCATTCAGTTTTTTTATGATGACAAACAAACAAACCCTCTTGACGAAAGAAAAACGAAGATAATGATGTTGCTCTTGATGTCTCTTTTAATTCACTGGGACAGTAAATCAGCATCAAGAAGCTTTTATTCATTACCCAGTTTCAGTTCCTACCAGTGAGGGGGTGCAGGCGTCTCCTGACCTCCCCCGTCCAGCCTGTGTGCATGTACAGCTCATCATAACTCACTCAGTAACAATGGATGAAAATATGACACAAGTTCATATCAACATAGATAGCTGTACGCAAAATAACATCTTTAAAATAAAATCCACTGTCTCTGTTTGTTTTGTACAATGAGGTACATTAGAGTCCGCAGCAGGTAAACTGACAACAGAGGAGGTGTTGACGATGGTCGGTACGATAATACAATATGCATCATGTCAGTTCAGTCGGGAAACATTTATCAAGTGCTCACTGCAACAGTACACAACTGCAGTTTTAATTTTCATGCAGGTTAAATTTAAGTGTGTTTTTAGACAGAAAACGCAGCCTGACGTCAAGTCAAATAAAATCAAACCATTATTTTTTCTGAATATAACCCACAGGGATGTCTTTAATATATTGATATTCATATTTTAGATTAGAATAATAAAATAATGTGATGCATCACATCTGAAAAAACTCATAACAAATCCTTGTCTTACGAACACGGATGAGTGAAGTGTCATATGTGTTTACTTTTCTGAAAGATCTGTGCTTGTTATAGTGTTGAATATTTGTGTGACTGAACAGGAAAGATGAGAAGGAGAGACAGTGGGAGGGAGATGACAGACGACAAGAAGAAAAACACTGATAAAAATCAGATCAAAGACTTTAACAGCATCCTGTTAAAGTGCAGGTTAGGCCCAGACGATATCTTAACAGGCAAAGAGTTGGCATGAAGCTGGTGGATTTAAAGCAACATTTGGCAACTTAACATGTGGACAGCTCCAAATGGCAGAAAGTGTTTTTCCTCATCACTTATTCGAGATTTCAAAAGTAAAGTCTTAATATTACAAGAATAAATTCCAGCCATTTCCTCCTCACAAAAAGAGTCAACTTCCTCCAAGTCTGTGCGGTTGTTTCTTCTGAATAGACAGTTTCCTACACATCAGACCTGATACTTAGGTCACTGTGGTGCTGGTTCGCCATAGGAGGAAGTACTTAGTGCTTTATGACACATATGCTAAAGTACAAATTAACAAGCTGCTTCACATTCCTCATTTAAAACAGACATGAGGCTGATTTTGCCATATTCTTCTTGTAAAACCACACACAGCCTTAAATTATACAAGTTTATTCTTGTAATATTATGACTTGAGGAGGATTTGTCGACAGTAAGAAAAAGTATAGTGGATCACCTGCCTTATTCTGTAGCTGACAAACTGGTAACATCAACACAAAGCAGTGTGGTCATGTATGGACACCTTTAACCAACGTCGTCTCTCTACAGGCTGGGACATTTGCACGTCTTATTTCTACATACGTTAAAATCCAAAGTGGCTGTTGGCTTCCCGAAGCTACGACTGTTCCTGCAGTCAACTGTGGAGTCTGCACAATGGCTACAATGAAACACAGAGAGTATCTTCTGTTTGTGGCTGTGAAGTGGCCGTGTGTCGTTCTAGTACTGCTGAGAAGAGAGAGAGGAAACTGCTATAAAACGATCTACAGTAGCACTGGCACTTGGACATGAATCATCTTAACAGTGACTAAGCACAAAACGAAGGGGCTGTTGCTCCAGTTGGTGTTGGGTTTTTTTTCTTTGTGTGGTGCCATCAGCATTACCCCCCCCCCCCTTTCAGTCTTTTTGGTTCAGTGTCCACTTAGGTCTCAACCTTCCCGTACGTCCCCTCTGGGGGGCGATATTGTTTGGGGAAGGCCTTGAGCTGGAGAGAGTTAAAGGCGTATTTACGACATCCCACATTCTTCATGGTGTTCTCTCTCCTGCAGCCCTCACTGTGGACACACACAACAGAGGCATCGTATACATCACTAATCAAACAGAGCCGGAGCACAGACTGTAGAAAAAGGACAAACATAAGCCGGAGCAATCACCACCTGGTGGCTGGCTGCAGTATAGGTCATAAACCTAACCTCCTCCATGTTATTGGATAAATAAAAAAGTGCTCAAAGATTATATTTTAGTAACGATATATGTTGATTTTCTTAATTCAAGTTTTATATATTTGTTTGTATTTATAGTTATTTGTAATAAACCTTTATGGTTAAACTGTATAATGTTAAGCCTCAGTGACATATCTTTGTCATAAGGGTTTGATAATGAATCACTGCCATATTTTTAAATATATCAGCTGATTTATCTGTATCACTGATATACTCTGTATTTTTACTCTTGAATATCAGAGTCAGTATAGACCAACAAATTCATATCACTTGGGCTCTATTTTCCAATTAGTTTGGGTGCAGGGACTGACCTGCGCATACAGTCCAGAGCCTGGTAGAAGACCTGCGGGGCCAGGGCGTGCTCCTGCTGCAGGATCTGACACTGCTCTAACGTCAGAGACATGGCCGTGCGGTCCTTGGCACTCTTACAGCTGGTGAAACGCACTCCGTTCAGGCGGCGACAGGCCTTCAGGGTTCAGAGAGAGAGGTTAGAGGAGGATAGATGGAGCTTTTGAAATGTCAAGGCATGAAAAGCACGTCTACCTCGGCCGCCTGCCACAGAATCTCCACGTTCTTGCTTTTCTTGGCGTTCACGTTCTGGCTCAGCAGCTTGAGCATCTCAGGCAGACTGGTGGTGCTGCGGGAGCGAGGGAGGCCTGAGGAGATGACAGAGAGGGGAAATGAAAATCTACTCGTTGATGATAGTTTGTTGAATGTGTGCAGACTCACTGTCTTCGGGCAGGACTTCTTTAAACTGGTCGTAGTATGAGCTGAGGCGAGTCATGCTCTCCATGTTGATCACCTCTTGCAGTGATGTATCTCCAAACCTGGAAACATGTACGATATTAGAAGAGAGACAAGGAGCACTTCTTTGCCGTTCACCTTTCCTTTGCTCCACACTCAGTGACTCACTTCTCAGCCAGTGTCTGCTGTTCGTTGATCCCCACGTTGAAGAGGATGGGCTGCACGCGCAGCAGCATCCCGTTCTGAATCTCTCTCGGCAGGGAGTCAAACATCGCTCCGGGCATCGGCACCCTGACGTTGAAGCCGTTCCTGTTTCCTGTGATCACTGGCATCATGTCGGGGGCGAAACCTGAAGTCGCTTGTGTCACTTTGAAGGTGACGTTTCTCAGGTCCATCACTCCAACACTCATGTCCTCCAGCATGGCCAGCTCCTCGCCTTTAAGACAGGTCGGGTGAGGTTCATGATGACGTTACTTCACAGATATGATGTAATATATGTGTCAACAGACGAAAAGAAAAATCTTTGTCACGTTTTAATGAAGTTTCTACCGATGTATAACCATTAAAACAACAATTTGGTTTATGACCTCTGAACTGTGAAGCCATTTCATTTCCTGCCTTCTGTCATGATTCATGTGTTGAACTTTTGAAAGATTTTTAATTTGTATTTGGACCCTTTGGCCTGATTTCTTTGTGGCTCAACAACAAACAGTGGGATATTCTCTCAGTCGACTTACCATAGGTGCTGAGCAGACCCTCATACTGCACCAGTAAGCCGATGGTGTGCAGCTGCCTGAGGAAGCCTGAGTCACACAGACAGTTCCTCAGCTTGAGAATGAAGCCACAGATCAGAGCCGTCAGCTGTAAGCAGCACAAATCGTATCAATACAGCGACGAGCAGTCAGGTTTTTGTTTTGTATTTTACGCTCGTGTCATGACATGTTGTTTATCTGAAGCTACACATGCATTAAAAGACAGAACAGGTGGGAGGGGGGGGGGCTGACGGACCGTCTGGCAGAAGACGACGTCGCGGCGGTACTGCATGGTGAGACTCATGGCGATGGTGGGGGCGCTGTCCTGCATCAGTAGAAACACCATGGCCTTCTTGGCTTTGTCGCTCATCAGAGAGACGCAGTCTGTGAGTGTGGTGAGGAGAGGATAGAGGGCGTCGCTCCACTCGCCTGCAGACACCACGCACAAGTTAAACACAAACACACACACACACACACACACAGGGTACATGCAGATACAGAACCTATACAGTTCATGTAATATTAGTAATATAAGTTCATCTGCATTTGAAGTTTTTGCAGAACAAACCAAAATGTCTCAAACATTTATTGATCTCATATGTTCTGTGAACCATTTTTATACCATTGAAGTTGTGCTCAGGTTAGTTTATCACACCTTTGTATTCTGTTTTCAAAATAATGGTAGGGTTTAACTCTATTGATCTATA